CGTGTGTCATTTCTGTAGTTCTTTCTACCCTATATCCAATTTCCCATAAAACGGAAAATTCCAATTTCCCTTAAAACGAAAGCATGCGTTCCCCCTGGGGGTGCTGTGAGAAGTTCATTGAACCTGTCCTCATGATTAGAGGAAGGAGAAGTCGTAACAAGGTTTCCATAGGGATCATTTGGAAGAGGGGGAGGAGGGGAAAGCGTGAATCGTGAATGCAGTTAAAGAAGAACAAAGCACATTGTCGGTCAGTCGTCGGGCCAGATAAATACTCTGTAAAAAGCGCGCATGCCTTCAATTCGAGGGCGAGGCAAAGAAAGAGGCGGGCGGGAGGGGAAAGGAGGGGAAGGAATGGCCAACGAACGGCAGGGACGTGAGGAGGGTGCTGGAACATGAAAATTGGGCGGGAATTGAAATTGAAAGATTTATGAGCGGGAATCCAAGATCAAGAAAGACCAATTGGGTGTGCGCGCTTTATTGCGCGAAGTGCGAAGTCTACAGCCAGCCCTTGCACAGCGGGAATCACACCAAAGTCCAGTCAAGACAGAACGAACGGGAAAAGTTGCGCGCGGGAACATGAAAATGTGGCGGGAGTTTGAAAGATTTATGAGCGGGAATCCCAGATGAAGAGAGTCCAATTGGGCGTGCGCGCTTCATTGCGCGATATCAACAGCCCTGCTTCATTGCGCGATATCAACAGCCCTTGGACAGCGGGAAGCACACGAAGTCCAGTGCAGGCATTAAGGAACGGGAAAAATTGCGCGGGAACATGAAAATTTGGCGGGAATTTGAGAAGTTGATGAGCGGGGGTGTGGGGCCCACATGCACCCGTGTAGTTTATTTAGTTTTCTACTACCCGTGCAACTGTGGGACCACTGCGAATCGTCGAGCATCTCACAAACCGGTGATGGGTGGGATTACACATCCCACCCACCTTTTTGGAAGGGGAGCCAGCGGCCTACCCATGAACTGTTGTTGAAAGGCGGCAGACCTGAGTTCAAATCGTGATGGGACTGGATGAATGAAATCAAGTGTGAGGATATGATTCAACGTTGGTTTTCCGCCTTGTGGCGTCACACAGTTGTAGAAAACTAAACTAAACTACACTGCCCGTGTGGGCGGAGACCCCCGAGGCCGCACACGCGAGCGTGTAGTGTAGTTTAGGACGGGACCGCACAGGAATTCCATTGGAAAAGATGTCTGGGCGAGGCCCTGCATGCGAGCGTGTAGTGTAGTTTAGGACGGGATGGGACCCCACAGGAATTCCATTGGAAGAGACGTCTGCCAAAGAAAAAAAGGGTGGAAGAATTTAGGAAAGTCCGGAAAAGAGTTCGGCTGGGACCCCACCGTGGAGTGAGTTTTGCCGCAAAATGGCATCAAAACTTTCCGTAATAGGAAACATCCCTGCCCACTGCCCCGAAAAGGAAAGTGGTGGTTTGTCTGGGTGGTCCTGTGACACCGTGCCACAGGATGACACCACCCTGTTCCGGACCAGCACAAGACGTGTGGGCGGACACCTTCTCGCCTGACCGGAGGAGAAGACCTTGGAAACTTTCAAGACAAGATGCCGCCCCCCTCCACACTCTACACTTGGCACAAAATCGCGGCGAAAATCCCTCCCAGGAGACTTCTCCAGGCCGCGAACCATGTGAAAAGAAAACGGATTTCAGTCCTCTTCCAGGCCAAAAAACGCAGGCTGTGGGTTCCCAGGAAATAGTTCCGCTGAAAAATTGGAACTTTCAAGGACCTCTTCCGCGGGTTGTGGGGTCCCTGGGAAACAGTTCTGCGGTGAAGTTTTTTCCGTTCGGCATTCCTGTGGGGTTTCCAGGCCTTAGTTATGACACTGTGGGACTGCTGCAAACCATCAACCGTGGAGGGAATGGACGGTGGGATGATACTTTCCGTCCTTTTGGATGGGGAGCCAGCGGCTCACTGGCACAGCCGCTTAGTAATTTATTTATTTGCTTTTTTTTTCAAGTTCCTTTCTGTACGGTTTATTCGTCTTTAGTGATGGCGAGGACCACAAAAGGCCAGCTTGCTTCTCGTTGTGGGGGTGTGCTCTTTGTAGGAGAATAAACCTGCAGACACGTCGAGGCCCCCAAGGACATCGATTGTCCAGTAGGAGGAATAGGACGCGGTATACCCATGGAACTGTTGAAACGCAGACCCGAGTTCGAATCCTGATGGAACTAGATGACCGAAATCAAATACTTAAGGGGAAAAAAAAAAAAACCCGACGATGATTCACCGTTAGTTTCCTGCTTTCTGCGGTCGCACGGTCGCTGAAAACTGAGACCCCAGGAATCCAGAATCACGAGGGGATTCTTGCGGAAGTCAAACAGCTTAACATGCAATTGCGGTCGTGGTCCATCTGTGTTCCTCGAATAGCGTCTGGCAGATCTTTGATTTGCTCACTGCCATTTTCGTCCACTACTGCCTTCTCCCTGATATAGACCCCGTGCGTGCTGTGTACTGTATTGAAGGCGACCCCCTGATAGACCCCACGTGCGTGCTGTGTACTGTATTGAGGCAAAATCATTTTTGGTTCGACCACCATGTTGTTGATGACAGCTGCCTCGGATACAACAGGGTTGCCGAGGTGTTCCGTCTGTTACGAGGAAAGCTGGTTAAAACTTCTTTCTGTAAAAATCCGCTTTCATTTTGGGGTTTTTAGCTGAAGCGGACAGGAGTCGCATGAAACCCGCGAAAGTGTTCAAAACTTTCCGAATGGCTTTGTATGTCTGGGAATAAGCGTGATGAATGAATTTGACTTTTTAACGGTTAAATAAATGAGTAGAATTTTTGTGTATTTTGACGTGCGAACTGTAGTAATGAAAGAGATCACTGCGACACAGTTTTCCTGCGGACTTGGAACACACTGAAATGGTGTGATATTCGAACCCCCGATATTTTGTAATATGTCAGTTTTCAAGACTGATACCTTCAACCACTCAGACATCCATCCAAAGCAAAGACGCCCCTTGTTGTACCTTTCTGTCCACTCCATCAAACACGTCCGGGGCCGTTTTTTTTTTCCTGTCTACTACAAATCAAATCGCATCTTAAAAGGAAACAACTGTGATGGCCTTGTACTGTTTTTTTTCTCACTGTTGTTTGAATGACTGCTTTCGATGTAGTGGTTGCGGTATCGCCGTCTTTGGCTCTGTTCTGGACTCTTTTCTGATGTGGAAACATGGTGCCTTTTGCCATGTTGTGCAGGACGGTGAAGTTGTGCCAAGGTGGCAGTCGGCAAAGGAGGCGAAAAGTACTGGAGCAGTGTGACGCAGCTCTGTGGTATGGGTCGGCCACTCTTGATGAACGGATAGCCGATACTCTGCAGACTCTTCCTGCATCTCGTTTAGAGGCCACCTCTGTCAAAGTCTCTTGATATCGACCGATGGCGCTCTCTCTGCGACAGAAGCAGATTGGTAAGTCTATTTCTTGGCAGTGCAAAATAAAATCAGCTCTCTCTCTCTCTCTCACACACACACACACACACACACACACACACACACACACACACACACACACACACACACACACGCCTTCCTATGTGCGTCTGTGTGCGACTGCACGCGCAAGAGCACACGCTCGCCCTCTTATGCAACACAATGCATGGGAAAACACCATCTCTTTTTCCTGACCGAATGATGGTTGGGGTGCTCGATTGCATTTTCATTACAGAGTTCGGCGGGGCGATTGGTACCGGTAGGGACCCGGAATTCTTTGAAAGCTGCTGAGTTGCCAACAAAGCTATACATGCTGAGGCCAATGGGGATTGAACTCAAGGTCCTCCTGAATGCCACTCGCGTGCCTCACCGACCGAGCTAGGCCGCTGGATCACAGACCCGAGTTTGAACTCCACCCGATGCAGGTGAGTAAAGTACTACAGCTCTGAATTACCTGCCTGCTGGTAGGTGCCGCCATCCGTGGAAACTTCAAGGGTGTTTGTAGTAGGCCTATTCAAAGGGGGCTGGTCTGCACAAATTTTCCCTGCCAGTTGTGGATGCCTGTGGAACCACAAAGCTATTGCTATTGACCCTCGTGAGTAGTTCCTTGGGTGTACTCGGGGTGATTGGACCAGAGTACCACCACTGTTTTCGGAGGACAGCGGCTTTTGGTAGTCCAGCATAGCTTCGTGGGAGGACAGCGCCTTTGGCCCAAGCAAACGTTTTTGCAGACCGAGGTAGCGTTGTGAGCCCACCACCGGTGGGCACTGTCCTTCAAAACGTTTTTCCTGGAAGGAGGGCAGTGGATCAGCACTGGTTTGGATGATATGAGGCATGCGGAAGGCATCTCAAAGCGCAGAGGAGCACCGTCTGCGGAATACACAGCCGCCGTCACATTCTGCCAGCACTGGAACTGGAAGTCAATTTTTTTTTTTAGGTTGAGGAAGTGTATAGTAGGCAAGCTGTTTTATAGTTGGACTCCCAAGGTCAAGGGGGGATTCCCGTCGGGGGCGTATTTTTGTTTTCCACCATGGAGAGAGCAGATGCGTTTACATCTGCTTGCCAGATGCAATGCGTCCCCTGATGATTCTTTGTCTGAAACATATCTGCCATATGTAGCATGCAGTGGATATCGTAAATTAATTTGTTGACATACGACAGTTGCTCTATGCGTTTAGTGTGTCCCCTTGATCCCTGCCTCAAATGGGTTGTACTGCCCCTCTAAACCGCCAGTACATCCCACAGGCAAACTGGAGAATCAAAATTAAGCCAATCGGAGAATTTTGGAGTCTTGGCGGCGCCAGCCAAAAGAAAAGAAGAAGCCCCGCTCTGGTGTTCCGGCAAACCCATGGGCGCAGGGGGAAAATCCGCCTCGGTAAAAAGGGGCTGGCGGTCGAAGGCTCGAGGTGAAGGTCAATTTGCTTTTGCATGTACAGGCTCTGACATCTGAGTTTTTTTTTTATTATTTTATTTTATGGACCATGGATCAGATACTAAACTGATGATCAGAACACATACTACACTATATTACTTAGCCAGAGGCGGAGAAAGGTTTACATCCTTTTTTTTTTTTTTTTTAATATATCAGCCTCCTGATGAGTCGGTGAAACTCCGACGAAGCAGTTGTCCTCTTCTCCCTCTCTGCCTATGGTTTACCGTGCAGCTCTGTTTGACGATAGATATATAGGAAGGTTCACATCTGAGAATATTGCTCCCAATACTGAGCAACCTTCTCTGCCGGGCTGGAATTGGGAAACCTCTGGAAGGTTAGTCTGACAGGTTGATGGACATATCATGGCTGAGGAGGTCAATTATGACTGCCGGGTGTAGTGGTTATGCTCAGCGAGCATTCTGAGACACTGCTGTATCGAACTTTCAGAAAGGGAGGAGGGGGGGGGGGCTACTGTAGGTTGAAGCAAGCGCTCACTCATGTTAAAGGTGCACATCAATTGGTCCTCACTCCTTGTTTGCTTTTAATTTACTTCCATCCTTGGTTGTTTGTCCTGGCGCCCGTGCACCCAACTTGTGCCTGGACGCACTCCCGGGTGCCCGATCGTGCATGAACCCCAGGCAGGAGTCCGGGCAGCCCCAGCACCCGAAAACAAAAAAGAAAAAATCCAGAAAAAAAAAGTTGTCGAAAATTGCAATACAAATGACTTCTGGCTGAGGGTCACATCAGAATTCCTAATGGAACCGAAGATTTAAAAGGAAACAACAGAATCGGACTAAGGCACCCCCCTTTAAACTCCTTTAGCCCCTTAAAAACCAATTTATGACCCCCTTCACGCCCCTGTTACAGCCAACACTTGAAAAAGAAAGGAGCCTGGATTTGGGCTCCTCTGGCCATGCTCAGAAAACCTCCATACCCCCCCCCCCCCCCCCCAC